GAAAATGCCTTCAAATTGTTTTCAATAATACGGGCATTGCATGTCATCTGCTTCCATGTTCGCCGCGGTGGTTTTTATCCAGTTACCAGTCTCATTCTGATTTACCCTCAATGCTCGAACGTTTGTTTGTTTGTGTGTGCGCTGAGTTTGTCTCAATTTCACCCACCCAATCAATTTAATCCGCCATTAGTATTGATTTGCAACACCAGGAGCTCGTCGATTTTGAAGACTTACGCTCTCCGTGCATTATTTTCATCTATCTTCATGGAACCGGGTGGATTTCAGACCATTTTAGAGGATCTGGGTTTCCTATGCCTCAAAACAAACGTAAATTTCGCATTGAGATTTGTAAAACATACTATACCATATAAAACACCCAGACGAGGGAAGAGATTAAAGTGGATTGAAACCCTCATGATCATATCGAACGGTGAAACAAGAAGATAAGGGGTTTGAGTTTGTTGTTATATGAAGAATTTGGTGATGCTTTGGCCATCAGTGCTAATATATTATAAATCGGAAAAAAACAAGGCAGCTATCTCATAGATATAAAAATGAAACGAATCTGTTAAAGCAAATGATGTCTCTCGTTTTCAGTTTTGTGTTCATACCGGATGGGATCCATATTAAGATAGATGTGCCAGACTGCGTTGCGCAGAGGGCCGTGGGGGGGGCTTTTTGTTTCATTAAATTGATTTTTTAGTTGACACCAGCTACTTTTTCCTGATAATATTTCAGTGCACTAATTTTGCAGAGAAATCGACAAGATGCACGAACGTCACTTCTTACGACACCCAGCCATATCACTGTGTCTCTAACCATCGGGTAGGATCATCCCGAGGTCCCCAGCCAGGGAGCCTAAAGGGACCTATGTGACCCAGACTTCTGGTTTGGGTTTTCATATCCCCATTCCAGGTCTTAGCTTGACCACTGTTGACGTTTTTCCACCGTTTACTTGCCTCGGCGAACACTGCTCGCCGTGGCAACCTATTTGGTGTCATGCGTAACACATGCCTCAAACAACGTAATCTATGGAGGTCGACCACTTGCTCCTGTGGGCGACCGCCAATACCTAAATATCTAAGCCTAATCTCTACATTACTCGCCCGGCTACCCCACCAGATTCGTGCAGTACTGCGTAGACAGCGGTGTTCGAACACCGATAGTCATTCTTTGTCCTTTTTTCCTAATGGTCAAGTTTCTGCGCCGTTTAGCAGAACTGGTCTAACTGCCGCGGCATACACTCGATCCTTCACAGACAGCCGGATGTCGCGACGGCGCCACAGATGTCTCAAGTTGCCAAATGCCAACCGAGCCTTCTGTATGCGAGCTGACACTTCATCCGTGATGCGTCCAGTGGGTGAAATATAGCTGCCCAGATAGAAAAATTCGTCTTCTTGCTCTATTACTTCCCCAGTTAAGGTAAGTCTGGGTGCAGGACCGACCCAGTCTGAAAGTAACATTTTACACTTTGAAGGTGAAAAATGTATACCGAGCCTGGTTACACTGGCACTCAAACTATCCAGAATGGCTTGTAAATTACCTGGATTTTCAAATATCAGCACAATGTCGTCCGCATATTCTAGATCAGACAGCCTGCCTTCTGGGAGTAAATCGATACCGCTATCCTCGCACGAGAATAGGGCTGTTTCCAGACAAGTTGACATGAACATTTTATTCATTCTATCAATTACTCCTCCCCTCCAACCTGACGGTCGGGGGGGGGGATGGTGGCGGTGGAGTCCATTTTATATTGTGCATCACAGTCCCTGTTTGCACCACAGTACGTACAAGTTGGAGCTGTCAAACGAATCAGTAAGCCTCACAGCCGCGAGTTTCCAGAGTTACAACTTATACCATCTTGTCAGAGAGAAATTTGCCTGTTCTTTTTAGCGAATAGTTCAAAGAGGGTGTTTGAGAGTTTGAAGTGCAGCCTCAGCTTCCATGATGCTCTATTCCATCCATTCATACGTTATGTCTCTAGCCCATGCGTATTTTTCCATTCGTTTTTATAGATCAGATCGGTAATTGAAAAATATGGTTTTACTTTTTCTAACTCTTTTTTCACCGTGGTTGCACAAAGTGGGGCTAAAGACCTGCGGCCAAAAGACTAACTATTTTATCCTGTTAGACTAAATGTGAGTTTAGGTTTTTCTCGTGTCATTAGTCATTCATTGATTGGACAGCTATGCATACGGGTAGAAAACGTCAGGTCCCTCCTTGGAAACTCGCTGCAAGGCAA